AGTCCCCCCCACAGTTAAGCCCAGTTAGGTCCAGTAATAACCAAGAAGCGTGAGAAAAAAACCTCACTCCAGAAAGGGAGGGAATGTGAGAAACAGTGCCCCCTTCATTTAGGTGCGTATTTTTAGAGGTTTCAGTCCATCCTGGCAGGAAAGGGGTAACATAGCAGGGGAACTTGCATGTGGTGGCCAAGAACGAAGAGAAAGAATGCCTGCACTCCATCTATCAATTTTTGCTTTTATTTCCTGTGCTTTTAGAGTCTTATCAAGAAAATCATTGCCTGTGCCAATACCTTGAAGTATTTCCCCAATGTTCTCCTCCAGTAATTTCTTTTTTTTATTATTATTCTTTTATTCACATGTGCATACATTGTTTGGGTCATTTCTACCCCCTCCCCCCTCCCCCACCCTCTCCCCGCTTCCTCCCTCAATTCCAGGCAGGTCCTGTTCTGCCTTTATCACTAGTTTTGTTGAAGAAAAGAGACAAGCCTAATAAGGAAGAAAAAGTGTTTTTGCTAGTTGAGTTGGGGATAGCTATACAGAAATATTCCTAGCATTGCTTTTGTGTGTACATGTGTTATGACCCATGTTGATTCATCTCTAACTGATCTTTACCCTGGTTACTGATCCCCTTCTCATGATAACCTCTGTTGCTTTAAGGTTTCTGTATTAGTTCCTCTGGAGTGGGGACATCAAACGCTTTCATGTTTTGGGTTTTCTACCAATTTCTATATTACCCAAATGTGCTCTCCCCTTGTCATGTGGTCCCAGTCCAGCCACATTGCTGCATTTGCCCTAGATCTAAAGTCTGTATATGAGGGAGAATATACGATTTTTGGTCTTCTGAGCTTGGCTGACCTCGCTCAGAATGATGTTTTCTAGTTCCATCCATTCACATGCAAATGATAAGATTTCATTCTTCTTCATGGCTGAGTAAAATTTCATTGTGTACAAGTACCACATTTTCTTGATCCATTCATCAGTAGTGGGGGCATCTTGGTTGTTTCCATCAGTAGTGGGGCATCTTAGTTTTTTCCATAACTTGGCTACTGTGAATAATGCTGCAGTAAACATGGGTGTGCAGGTGCCTCTTCCTCCAGTAATTTCTGACTTTCATGTCTCACATTAAGGTCTTTGATTCATTTTGATTTGATTTTTGAATAGGGCAAAAGGGGTCAATTTCAGCCTTCTGCATGTAGATATCCATTTGAAGAAGCTGCCCTTTTCCCAATTTTGGTTTTGGCATTCTTTATGAAGGATCAATTGACTGTAGATGTTTGGGTTTGTTTCTGGATTCTCTATACTGTTCTATAGTCTATGTGTCTGTTTTTTATGCCAATACCATATTGTTTTTGTTACTACGACTGTCGTATGCCTTGAAATCAGGTATTGTGATGACTAGCTTTGCACTTTTTGTTTAAGATTTAGAGTCTTGTGATTCCATATTAATTTAAGAATTTAGAGTGTTATTGATATTTTCATGTGAATTGCATTCAATTTGTGATCACAACTAACAATCGTTAGTTTGGACATTATAATAGTATCAGTAATTCCAATCCACAGGTAGAGAGGTCTTTTTCAGTTTTTTTATCAGTGTTTTGTAATTTTCACGTAGAAGTCTTTTACTTCTTAAGTTTATTTTTTGTGTATTGTGTATATGTGTGTATATATCATGGATGGAACTGCTCTTATTTCTTTTTCAGTAAATTATGTGTAGAAAAGCTACTGATGTGTATCTCAATTTTGTTTCCTATAACTTTTCTGAATTTGTTTATCTGTTTTAGAAGTTTTCTGTGTATAGAATCATATCATCTGCAAATAGGGGTAATTTGGTTTCCTATTTTCCTTTTTTGTATTCCTTGTATTTCTTTCTCATATACAATTACTCTGGCTAAAATTTTAGTACTGTATTTAATAAGAGAGCACTGAGAGTGGACACATTTGCCTTGTTCTTGATATTAGAGGAAATGCTTTCAGTTTTTCCCTATTCGGTATGATGTTGTCTATGGGTATATTATAATAGCCTGTTTTATATTGAAGAATCATCCGTATATACTTGATTTGTTCAGGACTTTTATCCTGAAGGGATGTTGAATTTTATCAAGTATTTTTTCTGCATCAATTGATTTGTTTGTTTGTGTGTTGTGGTGCTGTAGATCAAACCCAGGGACTTGTACATGTTTCTGTATCTGTTAAGGTAATCATATGATTTTTACCTTTTATTCTATTAATGTGATGTGTTATGTTTATTGATTTGCATAAGCTAAACTATCTTTGCATCCCTCACATGAAACCACCCTGATTATGGTGAATGATCTTTTTGATGTGCTGGTAAATTCTACTTACTAGTAAAATGGTAAGGTTCTTATACTGTGTTCATTAGGATATTGGTCCATAGTTTCTCTTATTGTTGACTTCTAGTTACACTCCACTGTGATCAGAAAGGACAAAGGATATGATTTAAATTGGTTTGAATTTGTTAAGACTTGCTTTGTGGCTTAATGTATGTTAAATTCTAGAGGACATTACATACACTGAGGAAAAGAATGTATACTCTTCAGCTGTTGGATGGAATATTTGGTAAATATTGATTAAGTGAATTTTATCTATAGCATAGTTTAACTGATGTTCCATTGCTTGTTTTTTATCTAAATTAGACACCTATTTTTGAGAATTTGGTATTGAAATCTCCTCACTATCATTGTATTGGAACCTATCTCTTCCTTTAGGTCTAATAGTGTTTGTTTTATAAAATTGGATGATCTGACATTAGATTCATACAGATCTATAATCAGTTTCTTGATGAATTGATCCTTTTATCATGATGTAGTGACCTTTGTCTTTTCTTGCAATTTTTGTCTTTAAGTCTATTTTGTCAGATATACATACAGCTTGCCCTACTTGTTTTAGTGTTCCATTTGATTAGAATATCACTTTCTATCCTTTCACCTTCAGTGTGTATGTTCTTACTGGTGACGTGTTTGTGTATTGTTGACTCTTATTTTTTAATCCATTCAACCACTCTACCTTTAAGTGGAGAATATAGTCTATTTATATTCAGAGTTACCATTGAAAGATATCTACAAACTTATGCCTGCAACTTTGTTGATTTTCTCGTAGTTGTTTTAAATATTCTTATTCACTTCCCCTTTGTAATTTGATGGTTTACTGTTATTGATGTTTGATTCTTTTCTATTTCTTATTTGTGTATCTACTCTTCTAGTGGGATTTGTTTTCTTTCCTCCTCTCCTACCTTTAGATCTACTAATTATGTGGACATTTTGTTTCATTGTGTCCCAAAAATATTGAATAATCTACATTATATTTCTTTCTATCTAAATGTATTATTTCAAAACCTGTCTTGAGCTCTGATAGTCTTTTTTTCTCTTTAATCTAGTCTGTTGTTGAAGCTTTCAACTGACTATCTTATCTGATTTATTGTATTCGCCATTTCTAAGATCTGATTGGTTCTTTTGAAAAAAATGTCTATCTCTGTTGAATTTCTCATTCATATCCATCATTGCTTTCATAATTTCATTTAGCAGTTCATGTATATTCTCTTGGATCTTATTGAACTTTTTAAAAATCAATTCATTTGAATTTTTTATAAGGCATTTCATCCATTTCTCTATCTTTGGAGTCTTTTAGAGTCTAGGAGATACCATATTACCTTGTTTCTTCATATTTCTTGTGTTCCAATGTTGAGATTTGATCATCTGGTGAGATGGCTATTTCTACCACTTTTATGAACTTTATAGTAAGTGACTTTCTTCTAAAGGTGTGTATTAAGGTGCAATGTTAAGATCATTTCCAGGTGGGCACTGCATATAGTCTCCTTGTATGTTGTTTGAGTATGCTGAATGAGATCGAGCACAGTGCATATTGTATCAGAATGCAGGTTACTCAAGAGTAGAGGGATGCTAACACTTCTTATAGGTATAGTGTAGACTAAAGAGTATATGGGGTTGGGGTGCATCCTCTGTAGCTACACCTGCAATGGGAGGTGGCCCCTATCAGGTGATGGGAGTTTCCTCCAGCACTGTTGATATTGGCCCTTTTACTTATAAGGGTTCTGGCACTGGCTGCACTAGTAGTGGTGAGGGTCCTGAAGCACTTGTCCTCTGACAGTGGTATGGGCCCAGGTGCATCACAGCTGGAGGTGGGGGCAAGAATCAAGGCACTTGCTCTATAGTGCTCACACCCAGTCTTGTCAGCAGTATGATCAGATAGTGAGAGAGGGGGGCACTAGATAGGAGTGAGTAGGAGCAGAATAGAGCTATTTCTGGCAAAGTTTCTCTGGTCTGTCTTAGGCATTTATAATACTTAGTGAGGAAAATATATAAAAGTCTCAAGTTATTTACTAAATTGTTGGCAGAGATAATCACTTAGTAATAGTGTTATAACTGCTTTTTATTTTTAATTTTTCTTTATAAATTTATAATTTATAATATATATATATATGGCATTGTTTTCATCCAGAAGTTAAGAATGGTACCTTGACAACTTAAGTTATTTTCAAAGAAGGTATTTTAAGTAATTCTTTTGTAAACTTTATGAAATGTACTTGAAGACTGTAGAAATAGCTGATTTTTTTCTAGAGATGCTTCACCAATGTATTTTCTGTACCTTGAATAGCATTATGCAATTTTAGCTGTCTTGTTGTTTAATTATTTATCCAAGCAATGATTTCCTAAAGTCTATGTCTCTTATCACATCCTTTTGCTGTCTTTTGCTCGCAATTTAAATGACTATGTGTTTGCTTCAGGCAAATGCCCGAGGATTTATTTACAGATTGTTATGAAAAACAAGGAAAGAATAATGAGCTAGGTGTCCTATTAAGTTGTTGGTAAATCTCTTTCCCAGTTTATTTTGTGTTTATGGACAGGAAGCCTGACCTGGTTTATAAGTCTTGTGCAGTACCCACAAAAATATCTTGATATTGTTTAGTACTGTGTTTTATGATTGGATTCACTTTTTTTTAGTGCTGGTTTTTGTACACATAGGAACTATCAAAAAACCTTGAACTGAGTACTAACAGTTTTCAGCGACAGTTGCTTGCTGAAAGGAAAAGGGCATATGAGGCCCATGATGAAAACAAAGTTCTTCAAAAGGAGCTACAACAACTATATCACAAATTAAAAGTAAGTATTTTATTTTAAATTGCATTGTTTCCCCTGTCATGTAAATTACATGAAAACACAGTATTTTAAAACACTATTACTATATTTGTAAGTTACTGCAATATACTTTACAAAATTATATTACCTTTTGCACTTAGAAAGGAAAGGTTTATCACTATAACAAAGTACATGTTATATATAACAACAGGGGCAATGTAAATAAAATAAATTGTAAAATTCTGGAAGAAAATTATGGAAACTAGAGTTTATTGCATGGTCGAATAATCCACTGTTCTTTCTCAGATAACCCCATGATTTATTATTTTTAAAGTTGTTTCAAATAAGATCCTTTGTTTTCATGGTTTTGGGAAGCATTCAAATTAGGTAATTGTGTTAAAGCAGGTATTCTTAATTTTATCTAGCAGTCATTGATGGGATAAATTTGTGTAGAATTGTAAAGAATCACAAATTATCTTACATAGTTTTTTTTTTTTTTTTTTTGCAATACTAAGACTTGTACCCAGGGCCTTGTGCTTGCTAAGCAAGTGCATTACTGCTTGAGCCACACCCAAGTCTTTTTGCTTTAATAATTTTTCAGATATAGTTTCATGCTTTTGCCCAGGGCCAGCCTTAGACCATGATCCGCCTACTTCTGCCTCCCACATAGCTGATATCATTGATGTGTGCCACCACACCCAGCTTGTTTTTTGAGATAGAGTGTTGCTAAAGTTTTTTGCCCAGGCTGGCCTCAAACCAGGATCTTTTTATCTCTGCTTCCAGCAATTATAGGCATGTTCCCCTCTGCTCATCCATTATTTTACATAGCTTTCTTTTTGTTATCAAATTACCAGAAAAAGTCATGGCCCCTAAATGGTAAAGAACACCTGTGTTTAAAAGCATGGACTAATTTTTTTAAATTTTGGGGGCTCAGCCTTTCTGAAACCTCATCCATATGGGTGTTATGGGTGTTTTTTCACCTTTTCCTCTGCTTAAATAAAACTCAGCTTTTCTGCTCTATTTAAATAAAACTCTGATCATTTCGTCAAAAAAACTAAAATATAGAATTTTGGTAGTATTGTTGTTTGAACGTAGGGCCTTGCACTTGGTAGGTGTTCTATCACTTGAGCCATGTCCTCATTCCTTTTTTGATAGTTATTTTTCAGGTAGGATCTCACATTTTTACCTAGGGCTAGCCTAGGTATAGCCTCTTGCATAGCTGGGCCCATAGGGGTGAATCACTACACCCAGCTTATTGATTGAGATGAGATCTCACTAACTTTTTTCTTTTTTTTTTTTGTTCTTCTATTCTCTGCCTTCTAAATATGAACCATTGTGCCAAGTTAAAAATTTAACTCATCCATAACTAAGAACCCACATATTTTTCAGACTGTATTGTATTTTTATTAGCATATAATAGTTGTACAGGGGATACATTGTGACATTTACATAAATGCTTACAACATATATTAATTAGATTCACCCTCTCCATCAGTCTCCATCCCCCTCCCCCACCCTTCTTAGAACAATTTCAACAGGTTTTGAGAACCCACATTTAAAAGATGCTAATTAAGTTCTTTGTGGCTAAGCCTGCATGACAGTTAAGAGATTATTATCTTTATCAGGTAGAAGTGAGGAGAAAATGAATTTTGCCTTTCTCTCTTCATCCTTCCCTTCCTTCCTTCCTCCTTCCTTCTTCTTCTTGCCTTCCTCTCTCCCCGCTCCTGCCAGGACATATTACATATCAAATTGTTTAGGGGCATCGTAGCTTTTCCCTAACCTAAATGTACTGGAGACATTCCTTTCTATAGTTTGATACCTACAAAGGGAAGTCCAACTAAGTATATTTCAGTTTGGTAAGGAAAATATTAAGTGGTCAAGTGAGGTTGTTTGTTTTATTTTAAAATGAGATTTGACTTGCTTAATTGTATTGGGTTTGTTTTCAGGAAAAGGAGAGGGAACTGGATATAAAAAACATATATTCTAATCGTCTGCCAAAGTCTTCTCCAAAAAAAGAAAAAGAAGTTATATCAAGAAAAAATGGTATAGTAGTTATTATTGTTTATACACTATTATAGCTATTATTTATTAATAAAATAAAGTGTAAAGTAGAATGAAAAAAGGGAAAGAATTTCATTGACATATATACATATATATATATATATATATATAAATTAAACCTACTTTTAACAATTTAAGTTTCTTTAATTTTCAGATAGCTTTCAACTTTTTTCAGTTTTTATGCCTGAGGAGAGGTCATTAGTTATACTCTACCTATGTTTTTGAAAATTTCTTACTACAATTTTAAAAACTCTTATGAAAATATATAAGCATACCCAAAATAGAATTTTAAAAACTCTTATGAAAATATATAAGCATACCCAAAATAGAATGATAAAATGGATCTTCATTTATACATCACCTAGATTTAACAGTTATACTTTTTGCCAATTTTATTTAACCTATTTTTCCTATTTTTGGTAGTAGCAGTGTTAAAACAAATCCAAGGTATTATTTTTTTTCACTCATAAAAACTTTGTATTTTATACAGTTTTACGTTTTTTTTAAACAAAGTGTAATACTTTTATAAATTGCAAAACTTTAGAACATAAACTTTGTAAAATTTTAGTAACATTCACAGCCAGAATTGCCCCCAAATCACTTAATTGCTCGTAAATCTTGGCCACAAAGATAGGAATAATGAGTCTTTAGTGAGCTGAGAGGACATTATCTCATTTAGGTGAGGATAATAACCAATTGAATGTATGTTAGCATTTTTCATTCAGATTAGAAAAATTCTTTTCTAATTTTCATGGTAGCTGCCTGTCAGAGTGAATTTACAGACCTATGTACAAAAGGAGTACAAACCACTGAGGATTTTGAACTGGAAGAACTTTCTATAATACCACAGACAATTTCATGTTATGAAAACAAATGGGAAGATCTAGAACATCTTACTTCGGTAAGTTTAGCAATATGGTTATCTGCCAAACTCTAGGTCTGAAGTTATCCCTAACAACACGGTATCAAACAAAAATTTCAGCAATGGAACTCGTGCTATATTTGTGCAAATATTCAACTATCCTTAGGTAGAAAGAGATAACATCTGTGTATTTTATTAAATTCCTTTGGATTTACCTTTTTAGTTCACATCACATTTTTCAGATGCCTCACCTCAGAGAGATTGATTATCCTTTCTGGGTTGGAGATAAAGGACAAGAATTCGCATTCAAAGTTTCTCATTAATCTAGATAGTCTTAGAAAACTCATGCTTTCATATTTAATAGGAAACTATAGTCACTTTCAAATGATTTGTTAGAAGTTGACTATATTTTTTGGTCTCAAATCTATATAGAAAAATGTTACAGATTAACTGAATGCTAAACAAGGATACAACCTGACTTTTTTATCATTCAAATCACTGTAGCATTCAGGGTGTCTATGGTGGACCTTCATTTAAAAGGACTTTCAATACTGAATCATTGAGAGGTTCCTTTGTCCAAGAGGGTTTTTGTCCTTAATGTCTACGGTGTAAATTCTGTAGGAAACAATTTTTCAGGGGTCTTGCAGATTTCATATAATATCGTTATACCTTATAAGTTAGTTTCCCAGTGACCATGAGATTTCTTGTCATGAGATGAAATAGAAAAGATGGACGGATTTAGTTCCTAGTTATTTTTTGTTATTGTTCTTTGTTTCTTTTTGTTTTATAGCTTAGATACATTAGTACTTACTATCTGCTGTACTAATCTTCCCATATGGAAAGTACTTTCTTCCCATGTTTGTGCTATTGTTAAGATTAAGTCATGTTGATTTTTATCTTTGAAATGATAAAGTGTAGAATAACAAAAAGAATAATTCTTAACTTTAAATGGATAAAAAATTTTGGTCTTTGTATTATAAGATTCAGCAAGAGGAACAGCAACCTGATATAGTAACAAGAGTTAAATAAAGTTCTTAAATTTTAGTGTGCAGCCTCTTGGAGCCTTAGTTTCCTCATCTGCATAGTGAGGGAGGGTTAATTTTCATGGTCATGACCATGACTAATCATGAAGTTTCTAAAGCTCTTGAAGCTGAGCCTGTGACTATAAAAGACTTCAGCAAATGGCAACCTGGAGTACAGTTTAGGCTGCTATTGGAAAAAGACCAACTACAGTGATTGAAATAAGATACAAGTTTCTTTCTCTTATAATTGACTGAGGTCAATGCATGGTCCAGGATTGGTTCACAGCTTTGTTCCATGGCAGTCATATTCTGTCTTGCTCATCTTCCATTTTAGAGTATAGTCCTCTCCTGTATGGTTGGAACTGGCTGACCATCTCTGTGAGGAAGGGAATGAGGCAGTAGAGAACAAGCTATTTTTATAAATGAGATCAAATGTTGTACACGTACTTCTACTCACCTCCCATTGGTCCTATCTAGCAATAAGCGGGGCTAGCAAATCAGTCGACTGCTGAGCAGCCCTATGCCCTGCTGAAACAGGGAATTCTGTTACTAAATGTAAGAAAGTAAAAATGGGTATCAGCTCACAATTACATACACTAGAAGTCATTAATAATAATAGATATTTTATTTTATTAAGGAAAATTACACAAACAGATATTTGAAAGGAGCCAATTTGAGTTTATAACATTCGTATTTGATTTAAATATTATAGAATTTATAAATTAGAGACTTTGGGCATAGTATAGACTTGAAAGTTTCAATGCAGTTGCGACTGCCTGTGTTACATAGTTCGACATCTCTGTTGGCTACCATAGTTGGTTAACTGAATTAATCAGTTTGTGAAATGTACAAAGCCAAGGTTCTTCTGCACCTTATCTCTTCAGAATTTTATGTAGGTCCTTGGTTTTTACTTCCATTATTTTGGTTCTGATATCTCTTATAATGCTTCTTTAAATTTTTAACTAAAGTAAGAAATAATCCTGTATTTTTGAAGCATCTTTCATGCATGGTAATGTGTGATTTACTGATTTATTAAATGAAAATATTTTTTAAAATTTCTAACATGATATTCATGCTGAATGGAAGATAAATCTGATGTTTAATAGTATTTCGCCTTTTTTATATGTGAATTTGCATTTTAAAAATGCATAATAGGACCTGGAATCTCAAGAGCAAGATGGGCATGAAGAAGAAGGGATTGTGAATTCAAGTGTGGACAAAGAAGGAAACTCCATTAAAGACCAAGAACTGCATGTTGTAAAACAGGAGCTTGAAAAGCTGGAGCATGGTGAGAAAAAAGTTTGTTTAAGCAATTTATCAATCAGCCTGCCTTGGGAAAGGATGGTCTAGGGTCCCTTAATATCTTTCACCTGAACTGCATATTGGTAAACAAGAAAAGCTTGGTTCTGTGGTAGGGAATGGTGTATCAGGAGTCATAAACATTTGAAGAGAGTTATTAAGGGAAGAAAAAAGTTGAACACTATTAAGTTGTTTTTTGAGGTTAGGGAATGAGAACAAGTTACGTTCAGAAAATTGAGATGAAGCAGAATTTAGATAAAGGGTCAAAATATTCTTTTTGTATTAACTAAAACTTGAAGAAGACACAGGTAAGAGACAACTGCCATTTTTGGGTTTGACCTTGAAACTCTATAGTCCATAGACTAGCTTAAGTGTCAAAAAATCAATGAATTATAATGCCATGAATATATTCCTATAATTTTTATTTGATTTCAATTTATAAAGTAAATGTTTAGTATGTTCAATGTTAGTGTGGAAATTCAGTGAATCAACTCACATAGTTTCAAGTAATGGGAAATGAAGATCAGGAACAAGCTCGTTTCTATCTGGATAAACTGTTGTGATCCCAGATCATAAACCTTTTGAGTGTATTCAATTAGTTATAGACTAGCTGCTCACAAAGAAATCTTTCTTTTGTTGTTTTAAGCTGGGCCGAAGTTCATAGAACATAAGACTGTGACACAATTGTGTCTGTGAATGTGGGCATACACAGTGCAACTTGAAATAGAAGCTGTGTTTTTGTCACTGTTGGCTAATGGATAGAGAAAGATACTTTCTCATTTTAAAGAGTAGAAAATGAGGTGTTATACTCAATTCCTCTAAGAAATGGGAGGAATAAAATACTGAAGACTATCACTTGTCTTTGTCCTTTTGGCTGATTATTTTTTTCCTGGAGTCTCTATGCAATGATCTCTGACTTCAGTGAGAATGTATGCCATCTCCTGAAGTTATCAGAGTTAGAGTGTTCTTATGTATTTTAGTATTTTTGATTCTTTCGTTTGGAATAACTTCAAAATTATAGAAAAGTAGAAGAATAGCCAAGAAACTATTTAATAACATGAAGTAAAATTGTGTACTTTATGCCTATATCCTTAAGTACTTGCACATGTATTTCTACCAGACAAGGACATTCTGTTACATCATTCCAATATAATTTTCAAATTCAGGAAATTTAACTTTGATACAGCTCATTTATCTCTTCATATATTGTGATTGTTGTCAGTAGACACAATATTGTCTTTATAGCATTTTCTCCCATCTAGAAAACATGGTCATAAATTGTCTTTAATTTTCCTACCTCTTTAGCCTCTTTACTTTTTTACTCTGGAGCAGCTTATTTGCTTCAGTTTTTTATTTTGTGAGATTAACATTTTATGAACATAGACCCATTTTAAAAAATAGAATGTTCTTCTTTGGGGTTTTTCTCTTAGATTTAAGTTAATGATTCTGCTGTCAGAATACTACATAAGGAATGTTGTATTTTTCTCAGGATATGACATCCATGGGTTTAAGTTTAATAGTTTTCTCCATCCATAGTTATGAAAAAAATAGAGAAAATAGAGAACCTTCCCACACCTACTTCAAAGAAGATTCATATTTCTGAAAATATGAATCGTAAATGCAGTATGTGTCAAACATATTCCCTAATCCGAGAATATCAAGTATCTAAGTGAAATATATGCTGTACCTCCTCACTGTATTTACAATATTGAAATTAGATAAAAAATACTGTTTTATAAAAGACGATAATTGAGTTTTCCTATTTTGAAATATCCAATACTGTAAAATCTCATTTTTAAAATTTTATTTCATACAGAATTGGAAAGAGAAGAACTAGATAAAAAGCAAAAAGAAAAGGGATCTTTACTAGAAAGAGAAGAAAAGCTGGAGTTGGAAACTGGAAGGTACCATGTGGATATGTATCAAAATCAAAACATTGGTAAATTGGAAGAAGAGGAAGAAGAAAGACTAAAGAGAGAAATGCTACTTGCTAAACTGAATGAAATCAACAAAGAACTCCAAGATTCTCGGAATCTAAAATGTCCTCCTTTGCCATTGCTACCTGATTTTGAATCAAAACTGCACTCTCTTCAGAGAAGCCCTAAAACATACAGGTTCTCTGAATCCTCAGAGAGATCATTTAATGGACATCATTTGCAAGACATTGGTTGTTTTGCTCCAAAAGGAGAAGGTCAGAATCCAGGAAATATTAGAAGTCCAATCTCTCCAAATGAGTTTGCATTTGGTAACTATGTGCCTTCATTTGCAAAGACATCAGAGAAGTCAAATCCATTTAGCCAAAAAAGTGGCCTTTTAGATTTCCAAAAACATAGTATGGAAACCCTTAGTAAAGACAGTGTAGATTTAATTGCAAGAAAGGAGAAAAAAGCTAGCCTGATGGAACAGCTGTTTGGTACCAGTGGCAGCAGCACCATTTCCTCTAGAAGTAGTGACCCAAATTCTCTGGCTGCCAGTAAAGTAGACTTTGACCCTCGAAGTTTTCTCCCTGGGGATAAAAGCAGCAGGGTTAGAGAGCCTGATGAAGATGAAGACTTTTTCCTTGGAGAAGGAAGAAATTTTAATCCAAACAGACACCGATTGAAACATGCAAACAAACCAGCAGTGAAAGCAGTTGATTCTGTAGAAGATGAAATCGAAGAAGTGGCACTGAGATGACTGACTAAAGTATATATATTTTTTCCAATTGTAAATATTAAAATATTTTAATAACAGTATTTATTATAAACATGTAGACTTTAATGTTAAAAAGTCCTTATTAATGATTTTAGTAGCTAAATACAGTACAATTAGAAAGAAGTAGATCATATTGCCACCACATAATTAGTTTGCTAAGAATGACTTAGCAATGTTTTGACTTTTTACTTACAAGTAGTTTAACCTCATAAACCAGGTTTGTACGAAGTTTTTATCTCACCAGAAGTCATACCTATTTCCTACTTTATTGCTATTAATTTTTGGTCAAATTCTCACTGAGCTAAATATCATCTTTCCACTGACTGTTGAATAGAAATTCAGAGTGAGTCTCCAGTGTGAAGTATAGACCCTAGGTGGTGGAGAACCAGTGCTTCTTAGAAGCCCTGCCCTTACTTTATGGTAAAGGTTGAGTTGTTTTAAGTGGTAACAGTGACAACATTGGGATTTCCCAGTCCTCTGAAAGTACCCACTGTTGAGTACTACTCATTTCATTACATCTTCTGTAGTCACTTACCGACAACACTGCTAGCATCTTAGGTTGATTTCTCTGTTTGGATGGATGGTCCCCTCTGATGTGGCTCCCAGAGGCTTGGGGACAGTGTAATTTCTCCCTTTTTTCTACTACACTCTTTATATCTCAGTGAGTAAGTGTAAGTTTGCATACCAAATACAAGTAATAGAAGAAATTTCATCCCCATATAGAAAGATTTTAAACTCAATTATGTTTCTAGGGTAGTATAATAAATAGATTTTAATATGTACTTCTAACATTTAAATTTGCCCCTAAACCAAGGAGTCAGTAGTATAATACTATTGGACTTAAAGGAGTAAACGTAAAGTAACTTTGGATAAAATTGTCTTTTTACAGAGTTGGGGCTTCTGCCCGGCTGAGTAGGGTGAATAGGTGTCTGTGGAAATGAATTGTTTTTGTTTTAGCTGTTTGTAGTTCACTTCAGCTGCAAAGAAGTATAAGAAGCAATAATATACCACCAGCCAAGGAAGGAGTAAACACTGTTAAAATGAAGAGTGACAGAATAGTGTGCCCAGAAGAATAAAAGCTAAAGACTGGCACTCATTCTAAAGTGAGCTTTTTTTCAAGAATGGACTATGGTATGTATGGTTTCTGATGCCAAGCACATACATACTGATGTGGGGAAAGAGTTACTATTTTATCTGGAGTTCTGATAAATGCTTATTACTGAGAATCATTTCATGACTATTTGTGAAGACTTACCTGTTTAGGTCTCTAATTAAAAGATATACCACCTGTTGTCTTCTAAATTGTGTTCCTTTTATTGGGAACAGAATCTCCCCAAAGTGCTAAACTGTTATTAAAAATTTTCTTAGAGATTTTACATCTGATATAAATGTTTACTATGTTGCAAATCATTTTAATATATGTAAAACACATTATTTGTAATGTGTGATAAAATATTATGTAATGTTAATTTTTTTTCATAGCTGCTTTTTTTCTACCAAAAGTATTCTAATTTTTAGGTTTTATTTTTTGGAAGTTTTTTAGGAAAAATTTTTATTTGAGTTACTTTATTCTCATACTTTTGTCTACCAGATGGTCTCTTTAACCAGATGCAACAAGATAGAATTATTAAAATTAAAACTAAAATTACAGGCTTAAAAGCATTATGGTATTAAGTATTAAAATTGGAGATTAAAATGTACAGAACAGTTTTTTTAATGAACAAAGCTTAGAGAGTGAATCATTTTTTTCTAAATGTCAAGTTAAGTGTATTTGTACTCAGAACTCTTATTAATAAAAATTAAAAACACAGCATGACTCTTTATTTGAATAATACCTTAGGTTACTTGGAAAATATATAGTAGAAACAGAATTTTCAAGGTTAATTTTTATTTCATTATTCACCTTTAATTTTTTTTCTGATATTTTTAGTTGAAGTAGATGAATTTGCCCTAAATCAGATTAGACAGTATGCTGGTCTTATCAGATAATTATGATTTTAATTAATCCTTTCACCTTTAATAGCTATCATAATGGCACATATTGCTCATACTATAAAAAAGAAGGTGAGAGTGAGGAGTATGAAATTGAATCATAACATAAACACACTTACTTCATGGGCAACCTACTGTTTTTCTGATGATCCTCTTCATTTCATATTTAGCTGTGTAGTGCTATCACGGTGTCCCTGACTGCTTGATAGTTGGTTAGAGCAGGCAAATCTGCCTGATGAAAAGGGGAAGGGAAAGTTGTATCAGAGCGACAATATGAATTTTGGGGGAACTCAAGAAGTTAGCATAAATTGTCAACAAAGAATATCTTTTTCTCTGCTACACAACACATGCTCTTCTCACCTTTAACTGCCCTTTTATATAGTTTTATATAAAGTAGTCTCTTATTAAGCAGCAATTGCTTTTCATTAAAGACTTTGGTGCTTCCTGGGTGTCCTGCACTGTGTGAAGTGGCAGGAGCATGTGGAAATCAGACGGCCCTGCCCTCACAGAGTGAGTGTGGTTCCATCCCCACATGTCTGTGGACCAGGGTCCTCTGCTCATATTGATCTTTTGTAATACCACTTATGGTGGTTATTAGTAAATGACACAGTTAGGTTAATGCTTGGCAGGGCGCCTGGCACATTATCAGCACTCATAAACATTAGCTGCTATCATGGCTATTTATGAGTTTCTTTTAGGGAATAATTGAAAAAGTAGAGCAAATGTATGTATATATAATTCATTGATACTAGGCACAAGACAGCAGAAAAAGTTTCTAAACCTCCATGTTATCACAAAATGTCTGCATTAAATATATAGTACCTCATAGGTCTGCATTTACTTCCCTTTATTCAGTTTTAAATGCACTGTGAGACCTATGTGCTCTTCCACAGAAGAGTAGAAAAAACACCTTGGAAGGATTTCCTAAAGACAGGTTCAGGGACATAAGGAGGGGTGAGACCCTCACAGCAAACAATAAATGAAATCCAGAAAACACAAGGCTTTCTAGTTACATGACATATGCATCCTTGGATAAGCTACACAAACTCTGCACCTCCTCTTCCTCTTCTACAAAACTGGGCTATTGAGATTACTTATCTCATGGTAGTTATGCGCAATCAGTGAGTTGATATCCAAAAGGTGCTGAGAATCAGAGGTACTCAGATGTTAGCTGCTTTGCTGTTATAGTTTTGGGGAAAGAAGAAAAGGAAAGGGCAATATTTGTTAAATGCCAGAAATGAAAATTGGCATTTTTATGGACTTCAGCCATTTATTCCATTTATTCCTTACAAAGTTTTTTCCAATTATCATTCTTCCCATTTTACATTTGAGATAATAGATAACACACAAATTGTAGATTATACAGGTAGTCTCAACAGTCTCAATATAAGAAATCCAAAGAAATGAAGAGTTTTTCATTAGTACTCTTTATGGAAGCTGAAGTCAAATACTGGTGGCCTTGTACAGGGAAGAATGGAGTCCTTGCTCTTACCCTGTTCATGGAATGAAGAGAATTCTATGGGACAAGGGGAGGCATGGTTCCCCTGGTTAAGGAATCTTTAACATACAAAAACTACATTTACTTTATCTTACAACTTAAAAGATTAAAATGAACTGGGCTGTGGTCTTGTGTAACCTCAGCTACTTGGGAGGCAGAGATAGGGAGACTAGCTGGGACAAAAAGATCCCCTTCTCAACTCATAGATGGGCATGGTGGTACACAGCTGTGGTTACAGCTATATGGGAGGCTATAGGTAGGAGGATTGTAGTCTGAGTTCATCTCTGTGCAGAAATATGAGATCCTACCTAAAAAATAACTAAAGCTCCAAAAAAAAAAAAAAAGACTCCAGTGGCAGAACCTCTGCCTAGCAATTGCAAGTCTGGTTTCAAACCCCAGTATTACCAAAAAAATTAATAGTTTTTATGAGATAAACATTAAAAGTTCTTAATGGACTATGCAGTGGTTACTTGCTAAACATTCCTTATTCCCCAAAACAAGTTATTTCTATAATGAGGTAGGATTGCAACCAGAAAGTTGCACTGTGAAGTTCATTGGTTGTTAAAGGATGAGCTATGTGAGCACTAAGAGGGAAACACAAGGCATTATACTTTAGTGTCCAAAGGAAAGGCTTAGAGCCCCAGATAAAGGTTTTCCAATGTTGAATGCATATTTTTAAAATATATGTACATATTCAATCTAACAGTAAAAATTAGAAATATTCAGCAAAAGTAGGGCAAAAAACCCCACCAACTTTGGGGATCCCAAATTTTTTGTTGTTGTTGACAACAGAAGTTTGTCAATATGGACATTTAAATACTAAGCATGTTTTCCTACCCCACAATCTTCCATCTTTAATTGGAAAGATTCTCATCTTTACAGAACCATGCTGAGGTTACAGTCTTCCAAGGAAGACACTTTGATCACTGTCTTTGTGAACAGCAGTCTGTGGGAGAAGCAGTTTTGCACACATAGTTTTGCTTTGCTGTCTGTTTCCATGGAGGAGTAATAGGTACAAATGAAGAGCTCGGACTGTGGTCTGAGGGCAGCACATTAGAATTCAGGATGAAGCTTTCATGCCAGGAACACCGGGGGATGCCCTGAAAACTATGACCAAAGGGAACATTCTCTCTTTAACTGACCTGAATATCAAATTTCAGATTTCCTGTCCCAGCTAATATTGACCCTGGAAAAGGTATACTTTTCATACAATCTGAAACGACACCATTGATGTCAGTACAAGATTTTTTATCTTGCCCTAATATACACTGACAGTCAAGGATACTAAAAAGTCCTGGTGTCTTTTTTCCCTCTATAGAAACTTCTAAAATCTTAAATTTAGCTTCAATATTTACTTCTGATCTATGTGATATCTGTAATATTTACTCTCTTAAGCACTTACAGAGGAGCTTCTTCACATAATGAGTACAAACCTGCATGCTCTTTATCTAAAATAATTTTTATCTAAAATCTTTAATAGATAAATAAAATC